GGAGGGTGGCGCTCACCGAAAGGACGGTGGAGAGGGGCCAGCCACCCACCCAAGAACCTGCCTTTGTTCTGGTCCAGCTGGTTGTGAGAGAAAACACGAGCACAGAATGGATCAAGGTACCAACTGCTTAAATCACAGAGGAGCAAACGCCCCTGGGAGACAAAACTGCACCCACAGAAAACAGGCTTTAATGACATCAGGTGTTATTAGTGTAAAACCTGAGCTCTGTCTCAAAAGTGATGTCCTTCCTCTTCTGGGACTGGCCCTGCTTACACCTGACCTGTGCCACCTGCTCGGACGATAGAAAACCACCAGCAGCTTTGTAACGCCTGCACCTGTCCAGCAGTCGAGGCAGCACAAAACCCCTCCAGCCCTGGCTTCCCTCCTCCCAGCCGCCCTGCTTCCTGCGCACCCGCCCTCAGCCCTGACCCTCCTCTTCCCCTTCCTGTAAACTGAGCGAGCCAGACCCAGAGGGACCGGGTCCCAGGGGGAACCAACCCGGGGCACAGGGCAGCAGGCCCGAGCATCTGCTGGGGGGAGGGCTCTCCTGTTTGGACGACCTTGTTCCATCCCCAGGGCTGTGATTCTGGAAGACGCTCTCCTACTCAGTCTGAAACATGCTTGAAAAACACACAAGAGGCCGAGGCGACCGTGAGACCTCGCTAAGGGAAGGAAGACGGGGGGAGCCCAGGTGAGGGGCTGGCCTTGCCAACGTCTCTGCTCGGTTCTGTGGGAGGATGTTGGGGGGGGTCCTGTGTGTGGAATTAAGCTTCCTCTGCTGCTCAGGGCGTGGGCCTCTTTCTGCGGCGGGCACAGCCCCTGACACCCAGCGCTACTTCATCTCCTCTGGAGTAGAAGGGGCGTCCTGCTCAAGCGGCTTTGTCGGGCTGGGGCCCCTCCCACCTGCTCTCAGGCGCAGGACCAGGACAAGCCCCGCCCGCCCGCCCCCGCGCGCTGCTCCACGCCCCGCCCCAAAGCCCCTTTCTCCGTGGTGTCCCCAGGCCCGCCTCACCTCCAGCTCCTCGTTCTGCCTCTGCAGCTCCTCCAGGATGGCCTGCAGCTCGTCCTCGTCCTCGCTCTCGCTCTCACTGTCCGAGGAGCACTCCTCCGTCTCGCTGCGGCCCTGCTGCCGGCTGCGGGGAGACGCGACCCCAGGGTCAGCAGGCGCCCTGGCCCGCTGGCGCCACCCCCTCTTCTTGACAAGGGACCCTGCCGCCCTGCGTTACCTCTGGATCTCGGCGATCTCGGCTCGGAGCCGCTCGATCTCCTCCTTCTCCGAGGCGATCTGTCGGCGCAGAAACTGCTCCATGGCGAGGAGCTCCTCCTGCTCGGTCAGGATCTCGTTCTCCTGAAAAGCACCCTTGTAAGCACGGCTGAGACCAAGTCTGGGGACGCCCGACACCGAGTTCCGGGAAAGCTCGCGGAGCCGCACACCCGAAAACACCCGGAGACTTGACGTCAGCAGAAGGTGCGCTCAGCGGTCTGGGAGGAGTGACCAGGTTTTCCTCAAGACGCAAAATGCCCCTTGGGAGCTCCCCATCCTCGTCCTGCAGAGGCTCCCTCCGAGGCGAGCACACCAGACATGCGGTCCAGGTGTCGTCGTCTGTCTCTGCTCCAGACCCTTCTGAGCACCTCCCCACCGCGCAGGAAAGGGAGGGCCCATGTGAGGGCCCAGGAGAGGTGCAGCTGGCGTCAGCATCACCTAGCAGCAGACCCTCCTCGCCACAAGCCACTGTCCTCACCTCCTGTCCCCAGAGAGAACACTTCAACAGTAAATACTGTGTGCATATTTCTAAACTGGAATTACCTAAAGGGAAAAAATCCCTACTTGTCCGGGATCCAGCCGCCCCCCAACTGAGAGAAAGACTCGAAGCAGACGGAACCTAGGAGGTGAGTTGGGGACGCTACAGGAACGAGCTGGAAGCAGCAAAGGTCCAGAGCGTTTCTTTCCAAGCAACAGGGATGCAGAGGAGAGCCTGTGATGAAACTCAAAAGCCGCTGTGATCGCGTTCTGAAGGGACCTACTCGGAGCCTCCTGGACGTGGCAGGCGTCCTCCCTACGTGATGCCTGTTCTGCGCCCTCAGTGCACCTACAGAAGTGCACGTTCCGAGACTGAGAACTCTGAAACACAGGCCTGTCTGGGCCTCCAGCCTCTCTTCAAGGGAGAGGAGTTCTCGGGCCCCGGCAGCAAAACCATGTATTTCTCAGGAGTGACAGGAAAGGACTGAGGCTGGTAAGGCTCCAGGTACCCACGTACATGAGTTTCTGGAAGCACAGACGATGCTGTCAGAGCCTAGAACTTCATTTCTTTTGGGCTAAACTCTGGGAATTTCCAGAACAGAGTAAGGCCGACTGAGATTCAGAAAGAAAGGAGCTCTTCCTCAGCTCCTGGCCAGGAACACAGGAGGCCCTCGAGAGCTGTGCGCCAAGTCCGCGAGTGGGCGGTAAAGCAACTCACCTCCAACAACTGACTGATCTGCAAAGAATAAAGTCAGAATGCCTGAAAGGTGTTACCAGCAACCACCACCAGCTAAAATCTCCATCATCACATTTCAAGGGCCTCAAACTTAGTGCCGTCAGGAAGGATGTTGTCAAATGTAAGTCCAATCTCATTAATACGGAACACGCACAACTAAATTGTAACTTAAGGAAAACACCTCTAACTCGGCCCTGGGGGAAGGAAAAGGAGAGAAGGGGGCGTCCAGAACCGTGTCCAGGCAGAAGCGGCCATGCAGCACAGAAGGGAACGCCAAGTGCAAGGCCGTCCCTCTGCAACCTCCAAGCCGTCTGAGAAGGCTGGCTAGAAGATTCACACCCCCTGCAGCTGAGCTGCTCAGACTGTAAGCTGACCATTAGGAGCCTTGCGACATTATCATTCAGCCACGAGAAAGGCAGTCCTGCCGTTCAGGGCAGCATGGCTGGACCTGGCGGACCTCACGCCAAGTGAGCTGAGCCAGACAGGAAAGGCAAGTGCCCACACGCTCTCCCGCACTTGTGGAGTCTAAAAAAGTCAAGTCACAGAAGCAGAGAACAGAATGGCAGTTACCGGGCCTGGCGGGCAGGGGACGTACCTGTGCTGCACACCGGTTAGCAGCACCGCACGGAGCACCGAGGCACGGAAAGCGCCCGCGTGGAGCGCGACGCTGACTGGCCTGAGCGCAGCGGTCATCTCGCTGTGCAGGAAAACTGGTTCATCAGGGCGTGCACCCCAAGTATAAACTGTTTTATTTTATATGCATGTTTTTCATTTGTACTTTTCCCCTCCTTGACAGAGGCACTGGGGGGTGGAACGCCTGCACACCGAGCATGCACTCTACCACTGAGCTCTACCCCCAAGCCCCACAATTTTTAAATAAAAAAGAATCTTAGCTTACCTGGGCAAGAAGAATATTTATGACTTCTTCATTCTCATTCATTTCTTCTTTGGAAACGTCCTCTTTAGAAAGACTGGCTATCTCTTGTGCAATCTTGCTCTCGCACTCCTGTGGGGTAAGAGAGAGCGAGCTGGTCAGCCTCGTGTAGCTCACATCCTGCAGTCACCCCTCACCACTCCGGACGCCGCCGCCTCCCTTCCTAGACGTGCACCAAGGCGCAGGCAGAGGAACCGTCTGGACAGACGGGCCTCTGTTAACTGGGCTTTGAAAGTAGCCCGTGACTCTCAGTCCGGCTGCACTGTGAGGAAAATGTTCATTTCTCATTAATCTCACCATTTCTGGAAGCTTCCACATAAATCACCTTCTGTGATTTTTTTTTATTTTAAGCATACAGGTAAACTAGTTTTGACAAAAGTATGCAGTCAAGGAACCACCACCAACCCCAATTCAGGACATTTCCGTCATCACACACGGTGCCCCGGGCTTGTCTGCCAGCTGCTGGCCCAGGTGAGCACGAACCTGCTTTCCGCTGTGGTTTCTGCCTTTTGTTCCATATAAACTGAATTAACCAGTCAGTAGTCTTTTTTCTCTGGCACACTGCTAACTTTGCAATTCATCAATTTTGTTGCTTGTGTCAGCAGTGTGCTGAGTAACACGCCACGACGTGCACGTGTCGAGTGGTGCACCCATTCATGAGCGGACGGGCACTTGGTCCTCCTCAGTCCTGAGCCACTCTGACCAGACCTGGCGTGAGCTCTGCTTGCGTTGGGTGTGTGTATGCCTTCTTCTGTCAGGTAACCACCTGGGGTGGGACTGCTGGGTCACATGGGAACCTTATGCTTAACTTGAAAAGAAACTGTTTTCCAAAATGTCTGTACCAAGAGCGGTACCAAAGGTCCGGCTGCTCCGCTCTTGTCAACACTCGCTATGTGTGACTTTGGCTGTCCTCGTGCCACCTCCGTTGTGACTGACGCTGCTGAGCGCCTTCTCAGTGCTTGTTCACCATCTGTGTGTCACCTTTGGTAAAGGGCCTGCTCAAATGTCTGCCTGAGTTGTTACTGTAACAAATGACCCTCTGGAGGGTGTTGATAATGAGGGAGGCTGTGCACGTGGGGGGAAAGGTAGGTGGGAAATCTCTACCTTTCCCTGAATTCTGCTGTGAACTTAAAACTGCTCTAAAGATATAGGAAGAAAAAAATTGGTTTGTCCTGTTGTGTTTTTTAATATATGTCAGTCCAAGTCCTGTATCAGGTAGGTGTGTGGTTTTTACAAATACTGTCACAGCCTCTGGTTTGCATGTTTATCTTAATTTAACAGTGTCGTTTGAAAAGTATGTTGTGATGAAATGTAATTTTCCAAATTCTCCTTTTATAGTTCATGGGTTTTGTGTCCTACTAAGAAGTCACTGCTTAAGCCAAAGTCAGTAAAACCTTCTCTGGCGCTTTCTTCTGGAGGTTTTTTTTAGGTCTCCACGTATGATTCATTTTGAGCTAATTTTTGTATATGTTATTGGACTCAGGCTCTTTTTTTTTTTGCACATAGATATCCAGTTGTTCCAGCACCATTTGCCGAAAAGAAGACCCTTCCCTATTCAACTGTCTTGGCATCTTTGTTGAAAATTACCTGCCCACACCACACACAAAGGCAAACTCAAAGTGGCTTAAAGACTTCAGCGTAAGACACAGTAAACCTCTCAGAAGAAAACACAGGCAAAACATTCTGACATAAATCTCAGCAGCGTTCTCCTAGGGCATCTACTCAAGCAACAGAAATAAAAGCAAAAATAAACAAATGGGACCTGATTAAACTTACAAGCTTCTGCACAGCAAAGGAAACCACAACCAAAACAAAGACAACCTACAGAATGCGAGAAAATATTTGCAAAAGATGAGCCTGACAGGGGCTTATTTGCCAGAATATATAAGCAGCTCATACAACTTAATAGGAAAAAAAACAAACAACCCAATCCAAAAATGGCCAGAAGACCTAAACAAGCAATTCTCCAACGATATATGCATGGCCAAAGGCACATGAAAAAATGCTCAATATCACTAATTATCAGAGAACCGCGAATCAAAACTACAGTGAGGTATCACCTCACACCAGTCAGAATAGACATCATTCAAAATCCATGAATGATAAATCCTGGGGAGGGTGTGGAGAAAAGGGAGCCCTTCTACACTGCTGGGGGGAATGCAGCTTGCTGCAGCCGTTGTGGAAAACAGTATGGAGATGCCTCAAAAAACTAAAAACAGACTTACCATTTATCCAGCAATCCCACTCCTGAGCATATATCCAGAAGGAACCTTCATTCAAAACGATACACGCACCGCAACGTTCACAGCAGCACTACTTACAGTAGCCAAGACATGGAAACAACCTAAACGTCCATCGACAGGTGACTGGATAAAGAAGTTGTGGTACACTGATACAATGGAATGCTACTCCACCATTAATAAAATGCCATTTGCAGCAACACAGATGGACCTGGAGATTGTCATTCTAAGAGAAGCAAGCCAGAAAGAGAAATAAATACCACATGAGATCACTTACATGAGGAATCTAAAAAAGAAAAAAAGACAGACGAACTTACTTAGAAAGAGACTCACATAGAAAACAAACCTGTGGTCACCGAGGGGTGGGGGGAAGGGAGAAGTTGGGAGTTTGAGATTTGCAGACACTAATACAAAAAAGCAGATCAACAAGTTCATGCTGTAGAGCACAGGGAACTGTATTCAATATCCTGTAGTAACTTACGGTGAGAAAGTCTGAAAAACGTGTAATGTATGTGTCAGTGAAGCACTGTGCTGTACAACAGAAACTGACTCAGCATTATAAACTGACTGTACTTCAATAAAAAAAGAAAATTAACTGCCCACGTATGTGCTGGCCTGTTTCTGCACTTTCTTTCCTCACCCAGTACCTCCTGTCTCGATTCCTTCAGCTTTAAGTCTCATATCAGCTGTCCTTTTTCAAAATTGTTCAGGCTATTCTAGGACATTTGTGTTTCCATACAGATTTTAGAAGAGCTTGTTAATTTCTACCAAAATCGCCTGTTTAGATTTTGACTGGAACTGACTCCACAGATCAGTTTGGGAAAACCTAACATATTAACAGTATTGAGATATTTACCGAATTATTTAGGTCTTTTTTCTTTTCAGGTTCAGTATCAATAGTTCATTGCTGATACACAGAGATACAATAGACATGTGTATCTGACCCTGTATAACTACAATGTTGCTAAACTCACATCCCATTTTTTATAAATTCCTTAGGCTTTTATATAGAGACAGTTATATCACCTTTATAAAGACCGATTTCTCTCCAATCCGTGTGCCTTTTTTCCCTTGTTTTATCACACAGGCTAGAACGGCCTCATCCGTGCTGAACAGAAGAGGTGAGATCAGAAATCTCCGCTTGTACACCCAATCCTAGAGGAAAGCCTTCAGACTTCCACCATTAAGTGCAACGTAAACCATAGATTTTTTGTTTTGTTTTGTTTTGTTTTGTTTTTGGTAAATGCCCTTTATCATGCTAAGAAGGCGGTGACTGAAAGTTTTTATCAGGAGTTAAATGTCAAATTCTGCCAAATGATCTTGTGGGTTTTCTTATTTTTAGTCTGTTAACATAATGAACTGTATTACTTCTATCTTTAAAAATCATTTACTCCTCAAAGTTGAAATCACCTGGACAGACCCTCTTGAGCACTTTGTGAGTGAAGGAGTAGAACTGGTGAAGGCGAGATAAGCCCTCCCTTTCTGCACTGGCTCTGGTTTGGTGTCAACTCCCCCGCCTGCACCCTGTCCTGGGTCAGAGACCCTTCATTTAGAGGCTGGTGGGCAACACCACATGGCTGGCAACCACACCAGGAGGCCCAGCTGATTAGTCACTAAACCTGATCCCAGGCTGGATCATGAAGGGAAAAATTAATTGGTTAAAAACAGACATTGGAAGCAGAAGATAGCGTGGTAGGCAGGAAAGAAGAAAGAAAAACACAGAGGCCGCCGGCTAGTCCTGCAGCACACGTGCTAACGGTCTGAGCAGCATTTCCTTCCCACAAAGCATCTCCATCTCCACACAAGTGTGAATCGTCACCCTCAAAGCAACAGACCTGTGGGCTGCCTGTCCTGTAGCAGGAGCACACGTGCGCCCCCCAGCCATCACGCCCTCACACCTGCCGACTCATGCTCCTTAGACGCGCCCTCTGGATCCTGCCGTGGACCCTGCACGCGGCTGTAAGACGCTCCAGGGACTCAGGATCTCAGCCTTGCCGTGGCCAGGGCACCAATGTCCAGTTCGCGGACCCAGGACATCGGCAGTCACATGCCACCTGCCTATCACCAGGTAAAGACCGTCCCTCCGGGTCATCAGTGCCTCCGCGTGCTTCCAGAGGACACTCAGAGGCCTCAGATTCTGCAGTGGATCATCGCCTGACTGCTGCTCATGCTTGGGAAGCTGCTCACAGGTACAGCCAAGCAGGAAATGGCAAAACATCTCTCAGTGAAACAGTCTTTAATAAACCAAACAGCTTTCTAAATTCAACGAAGCATCTCCCTGATAGCAAGCTGATCAATAACCCAGGACTGGGGACTTGAGCGAACTTCCCTTCAAAAGACATTTATATAATGTACTTTCTAAAAAGTAACTCACAGCGGTAGACAGAAGACCCCGGCGCATTCTCTCTCCCTTTTGCTATGAGCGCGATGCACCAGCAGTGAACTACTCACCTGTCTCTTAGCTTCTCTCAGTTTTCTTTTGAGGGCTGTCAGGATCCTCTGCACCTCCCACAGGCGCTCCTCTTTAGACAAGTCCTTTATCCCGCCCTGCAGGTCTCGATGTAAACAATTCAAAAGAAACTCCTAGAAAACCGTACACCACACACTGAATAGCATTCCACATCTTACCATCTTAAAATAAAACCACATGCAGTTTCTAAAGACGGAGAAGCAACTACCTCGCATTTATCATTAAAGAAACGACGTGATAGCACCGTTTCTTAAGGACACGACTGAAAAATCATTTTTGTTCTGCCTGAGCAGGGGGTCCTAATCCATCAGTTTACACTGGTTCAGGAGTAGTTAATTCACCCCCTTCCCTCAACCCATCATCAACTGATAGGAAACGGGAGCTCAGAACAGAAAAACAAGCAGGGATCTGAAACTGGTACCCAAACAAAAGGTGTAAAAATGATCAGATGTAAGTAAATTTCTTAGTCTTGAATTCCTCACTCAGCTCGGCAGACACACACACACACAACCACATGGCACTGTTCCAGCGGCAGAGTGGGAAGCACAGGACACCGTCAAATCCAGGGTCTCCAGCTTAGCAAGCAGCTGGCAGAGCTCCGTAGCTCCCCCAGATTTCAGTATTATCTGTAGCACAGTGCCGACAACGCTGCCGGTCCAGGTAAGCTAACACTTCCGGGCTGCTCCCAGGAACCCGGCATCGCCTTCGTAAGGGGCCCCGGCACGTTCCCCAACACACGGGAAGGGCCCGGGGAACGGGCCCCCTGGCGCAGGCGGCCGCGCACCTGCCTCCGGATCTCCTCCTTGATGCTCTCCTGGGCCTCGGGCAGCGTGGGCATCGTGGCCATGTTGGACCAGCGGAGAGGCTTCGTCACCTGCTTCAGCGTCACGTTCCCAAAGAGCTCTTGCACGTGTGTGAAAAACACATACAGTACACGGTTACTAATCTAAGGAGAAGAGAGATTTGGGAGGAGACTGTTAGCATCATCGTCTCCCTTCACTTAACCTGCGCCTCCTGACTAAGGGCATATCCTTTAATCCCCGGTAGTGACTAGACACGTCTGCTAATCAGTGGGCGGTTTACAGAAGAGAAGGAGAAAGTGTGAGTTAAGTCACGAGCTCGAGCCTATGAACTGGGGGGGAAAGCCAAGAAAAGGACGCAGTGGTCGATGGTCATCGGTTTGTCCCGTTTTAGCCCTAGAACGCTATGTGACATTAAATAAGGTTCAAAAATCTCGTGTTCTTTGCTTTCCAATTATTGTGAGACGCTTAACACACACAAGGATCTACTGAGGAACATGGACGCGTCAGAGCGGCTGAATGAGAAAGCATCGCCCTCCAGGCACACACTTGTTTAAATACGACACTCAGGTGCCAAGAGACCAGGATGCCGGGCGCCGGGCTAGCTGAAAAGCCAGTAAAAGAAATGACTTCCTACCTAAAACTTAATTTTACGACACCCCTGAACCTCTGTGATACCATCATCCCTGTGACCATGATACCAAGTAAGAATGTAATGTTTACCAAATTCTGAAAACCTAACTAATATGAAATTTGAGGAACATTTTGCTTACAAAATATAATTGATGAGCCATGAAAGAATCTTCAGTAAAAGAAAATACACTCATATATGTAACGGTGTTAGACCAGGTTATTATCGGTCATCGTTACATGGGCCAAAAAGAGGGCTTAAAGTAAAAAACATAACCACTGTCTCACTTTTCCGCCCTTTGTTTCTGGCCTGAGTGAAACATGAATAACTAATTAAAGGAAAGCACGTGCTCTCCGCCAGCACCAATGAAGGCCAAGAAGTAACCTCTGATCCCTGAAGTCCCCCCTCAGGCTAACCCACACGCAGACAAGCGCCGTGAGGCCCTTTCTGCCTGCGCCCCACGTGTCTGTGTGATATAATTAAGCAGTAATGCTATTTGATGAAATAACTGAAATCTTTAAAATTCTACAGATGATACTCAGTAACCTGAGAAACATAATGAAGAAGAATATAAAAACGAGTATGTGTATGTATGACTGAAACGTGATGCTGTGCACCAGAAACTGACACAACACTGTCAACTGATTATTCAATTCAAAAAAAATTCTAGAGAGGAGAGCAGAGCTCAGTGTAGGGCACAGGCTTAGCAGCCACGAGATCCCGGGTTCGGCCCCCAGTACCTCCTCTAGAAGTAAACAAACCTAATTTCCTCCCCCCACAAAATACATAACATTTTAAAAATAATCAATCAATCAATCAATCTACAGGTGAACTGTCGCCCCTCCTCTACCAATGGCAGGTCACGTCATCAGGAATGGTGACTCAGCGCCTGGACAGCGCCCAGACTCTGCGGCTCCAGCTACGAGGCTAACGTGCTCTGACCTGCAAGTCGGCACTCACTGTCCACAGCAGGAAAGAAAGAGACCGACGTTCAAACTGACCCGTCGTCTGCTTTCTGCCATTCACTGCTCTGGCTGTGACAACGACAATGTCCCCGGGCCCCCCAGGGCCAACCAGAGAGCAGGTGCACAGGGAGGGCCAGGTACCTGGACAGTCGGGCTGAGCACTATGGAGATGTTCTGGATGTTCATCTTGGTTTCCAGCTCCTTGGCGATGACGTGGTCCATGTGCACGATGAGCCAGGAGATGAGGAGCTGGTTACACTCGGGCAGCTCCCTCAGCAGGCGCTGGAACTCCTGCACCTTCTCGCCCTCAGTGCTCCTCGCACAGGCCTCCTCGAAGCGCGGCAGCAGCTCCCTGGTGAGCAGGTTCTCCGGCAGGTCCCGCAGGTACTGCTTCAGCAAACTGGCCACCGTGTTCGCGTCGTACTCCTCCAAGTTCGGGGGCTCCTCTCTGTCATAGGCCGCCTTCAGCTCATCCACCTTGGATTTAATTCCTTACAATATTCCAATTCAGAAGAAAAGAAGTATGAAAAAAAATGAAAATGTATGAAAGAGAAAAAAAATCAAACACACAGCTTCCCCACTGCCCTCGCCCCTGCGGGAGATCTGGGAAGAGTCAATCCGACAGTGACAAACCTCTGCTCATGAAGCTTTCACCTGCACAGGCTTCACACAGTTCCTCCGTATAGAAGATAATATAAAAAACTACTCTCAGGGGATGAATTTAACCAAAGCTAAGTGATAATGGAAAAACTCAATACTCAGAACAAAAGAGCAACCACAGATACATCAAGCAAATAAGCCAATCCATTCACGGAAAAAAAAATCTTGTTTTTAGTTTAAAGCTAGGTAGGTAAAAATTAAACTACAACTCAAGCATAAGACTTGCTCTGCACGAGCTGCCAGCAGCTTCTTCTAACAGTCACAAGACTGACAACATAAAATGCAACTCATTACACATAAGCACCTTCCAAAAAGTCATGGATAATTACTTCTTTATAAGTAAAAACTGTATCATACATGCAACAGGTGAGTTCACTATCTGAACAAACTTTGAAAATTATTCCCCATTAAATACCCTTCTAATTTCTATTTTTAACCTTAAATTCTTTACATGTTTTCTTTATCTGAAAGAGGGCTAGAACAGAAAAAGTGAAATCTAGGTTACTGACATCAAATTGTTTTGCTTTTCTTACTGGACAGGAACACAGACATGTTTTTCAGACATGATAAGTGCAGACTGGACTAAAGACTTAAGTTACTAATTCAGTGACAGTGATTGTTCTTGAGAATAGAAAGTTGCTTTCTCCGGTTTTTAATACTTAAAACTTTCGGCCAAGATATGGGATATATATCTACAGCAGAATACTACCCAGCCATAAAAAATAATGAAATTCTGCCATATGCAACAACATGGATGGTTGGAGGATATTATGCTAAGCAAAGTCAGTCAGACAAAGATGAATACTGTATCTACTGCTTATGTACTGAATCTAAAACATACAACAAACTAGTAAATACAACAAAAAAACAGACCCACAGATGTAGAGAACAAACTGGTGTGCTTGCCTGTGGGGAGGGGGAGGGGCACGACAAGGGTCGGGAACTGGAGGCACAGGCTGCCTGTGTAAGACACACGAGCTGCAAGGACGCACTGTGCAACGCGGGGAAGAGAGGCCAGTTTATAATGACTGTACATGGAGCATAACCTCTAAAAACTGTGAACCACTGTGTTGTACACCTGAAACTTATATAATACTGTACATCAACTGTGCCTCAAAAAATAAAGAAAGAAAATAACTTCAGGCCAATTATTGGAAACAAGCTACAAATTAAGGCTGACAGATTTAATGGTAAATGCAAACAATGTCACCTAATCTAAACAGCATTTTACAATCAACAGTGCTGACACCTGGGGTCTGACGTTCCTGATCTTCCGTAAAAACCTGTCAGAGGCATCACAGTCAGTCAGGAACTTGTCCTGCACTGACAAAATGAAAGCAGCAGCTCCAAATAGGAAAGTGACAACATGAATCTTACTTCTGCACCATCCTTATCTTGAGGCAGAAGAGTTAAGAAATAATCCCTATGTTCCTACTTTCATGAGCAAAATACGATGAGTGATAACTTTACCTGAAACTCTTGACAAGGTCATCCTCTCTCTCATACATGTTTTATAGGGAACTAATTTTCCCTCATCAGAGCCTACCCAGAAAACTGCACATGTGAACAATTAGAATTCATGTTTGGTTGTTTGGTTACTTGGAAATTGTTCTCAAAATGTTTTCTTTTTAAACGTTGGACACTTCAAATAAAGTATCCGAGGTACAGAAATAATATGTGCAGAATAAGTTTTGAAACTGGAGCTTATATATGAGTAAGTGAGAACCAAAATTCTCCAGCAGAAAACAGTATTATTAGCATTCAGAAAGAAAAGTCACAGCCATAAACTCTGACCCACAGAGTGCTGAAGGCAGCACACTGCCAGGGCCCCAGAAATAATCAAGGCAGGAGCTGGGCCTCCCAGGGGCCACCACCCAGGGGAGCCACATCAGTCTGAGTGCCCCAACACACACACACACTCACACACAAGCAGTACACAACACTGACTCCCTAAGAACGCAAACATCAAAACAGGTCACAGACAAAAGAACCCTCTGAACAAAGCTGGAAGAACTCTCTGGAGGCACTTTCACCTAAAATTTCTCTGTGCCTGTCAAATGCACTTGAGAGAAGCAGCTATCTCAGGACTGTTTAGCTCTTTGTTTTTCTTTTTTTGGAGGGGGGTAATTAGGTTTGCTTACTTATTGATGTATTTAATGGAGGTGCTGGGGATTGAGCCCAGGACCTCGCGCACGCTAGGCACACGCTCTACCACTGAGCTGTACCCTCCCCCTGGGACTGCTTAGCTCTTTAAAACTCCTGTCATCATCAATTCTTCTTAAAAGTTGAAATTTCAAATTCATTTAAATGTGTTTATTTTTATGTTACTAAGGACTTACAAATTCATATTCAGTTCCTAGTTCGTTCACTTTTTCTATAAAGTAGTAGCATTTTAGCCAGAATGTCTTCAGGGAGAACGTATTACCCATGGGCTCCTGTAAAGGTCTCCCTTACTTCCCCTCCTTTTTTAGGAAGTATAGTTGCTTTACAGGTCTCCCTTTATCTCATCAAACACGCCTGTCCTTTCTTAAGAAGCGTAAATATCGAACCTTCTACAAACGTGCCTGAACGTGCAATTAAACTGAAAAAGTCAGTCTAGTCTCCGTCTGTTCTGAACGTGTATGGTCTGACTGGAGAGCTCTGTGTGAGCAGGAGCAAC